TCATTTTCATTAGAGATGTTATTAAACTGTTTGAGGTTACAGATATCCAGAGTCTCCAAGAGAAGCTCAGATTTAACTCCCACAGATATAGGGCCTGGACACATATATGAGCTTGTAGTACATTTAGTCCAGTTTATAGTAGGCGTATTAAAGTCGCCAATGCACAAGAAGTCAGTATTATCCCTCATATGGATCATTTTCCCCTGACAGTTAGAATAAAAGGCTTTTAGTTTGTCTAGCTCAAGATCAGGCGGCAAATAGCATAAGCAAACAATCAAAAACTTATTAGAATGCGTACTAATTTTAACCCAAACATCCTCAACCTCAGATTGCCATTCAAGTAATCGACGAGCATTTAAAGTTTTTTTGACCGCTAAAGCTACACCACCCCCCTCTCTCTTTCTTATACAAGTACTATCACGATCTCGGCGAAAAACTACATATCTAGAGTCAAAAAACTCAGCATCGCCGACACTCGCATTTAGGTTCGTTTCTGTAAAACAGATCACGTCATAATTGCAGTTAAGAATATTTAGGTAAACATCGTCAAGCTTACTTCTAATCCGGTTGACATTTTGATAGTATACTAACATTGTGGAACAAACAAAAATCCAGATGAATTGAACAAAATAAATAGAAAAAAAAAATAGAACTTATTTAGACAGATTAAGATTAATTACTTAAGTTTGTTGAGACAGTCCAAGGTTTTAATGTGAATAGAACTTGATTCATCATCCTTTCTAACAAATATACGACCAAATTTAATCCAAACAAAAGTGTATTTTCTGTCTTTCGCAACCCTTCTTGTCTCGGCATATAACAATTTGCAATTCGGAGAGATGTGTTCAGTAACAAAAACTCTTGTTTTGTTGTCTGTGAATCCAAGGTGTGAGGCATTGAGTGCGTTGATAGGTTCTTTAGCTGCTTTATTGTAACGTCTTACCAAAGACAAGACAGTGTCCCGCAAACGAGGCGAAGACAGAGTCACAAGAATATTTCTGGGGCGACTTGACTTTTGGTCCATTTTAGCAACCCTTCTACAGGCAGTTATTTGAGAATCTTCGATTGCCATACCTATTGTGCTACAAAGGTACTCTTAGGAACCGCTTGCAATTCTAAATTATGATTTCGAGATAGGTTCTCAAAGCTAGAAATTTTATTATTTAATAAAGAAAGTTCAGATTTCAATTTGTTATTTTCATTCTCCAAAATTTTAATTTTTTCTCTATTCTCGGTCACCAAGGACTTTAGTGTGTTCTGTTCTACGCAAATAAAATCGGTTGTAGATGTAAAATTATTTTCTAAATTTTTAATCTCAGATTGAATTTCTGATTTAATTATTTTTTTGATATCTTCAAGTAGAGCTGTACGAAGATCGACTTTGAAACTTGCAAGGTAATTATTTAATTTCTCATCAAGTACGGCCGATACAGAAGTTTGAATTTTATGATTATATGATGTAACCGCATCGCAGTCCTTTCCTTGCGGCGAGCTATTATCGAGGGACATGTTCATACTGTAGTCGGAGGCAGATTGATGATGGTGTGATGGTGATTATTATTACGTTATTTAAAATAATCACTTATTTAGTTTTACAAAAAGATTTGAGGCACTACCAATTACAAAATTTTCAACATAATTTTACTTTTGCAGTGCGTCTTCGCATTGATTCAAAGAAGTTACATATCGTCTTAAATCATTAACTGCTGGTAATGCCTGGGCGTGTGACAAAATCGGAGTTGACTTATCTTCTTCTTGATCATTTATCACATAGGGCATCTTTTTGTGTGTTATCAAGAGGTAATATGTGTGGTACGTGTACGATTTAGGCGTATTAAACGGGATGACGAATCGTATTAAGCATTAAGAAATGTATGAAAACATGTCTCAAGTTGCAGGGACTGACGCAAAGTGGCGTATTATGCGAGAAATCGTATTAAGCGTGAGCGTATTAAACGGGTTTTACTGTATTTTGATACTGTGCCAAAAATAAATAAATATGTACTTACGTCTACCACCAGGACTTCGTTACAGGAATTATGGAGACTCCCCTCTGTACACACGCGATAAAGCACTGCAACTGTTGATGGACAGTCGCGGCATCTCGCGGCAGCAGGCTGAAGTGATCTCCGCCAGGGGACTTGAGCATGTGCGCGGGGACCTGTATAGGTTGGTTCGTTATCCTTAATAGTGGTGATGACGGGGTACAGTAAACGAAATTTTATTTAGTCCGTCAGTTAGATGATCAAAAAATAATGGACACGTATTTTTTCTTTGGGCAATCAACCAAAAAATGATAAAGTTTTAGCGCGTCAAAGTTTGGGAGTAGGGGCTCGTGACGTCACTTTTAAGTGAAAATTGTATCAAAACGTGACGTCATGCGACTTTTCAAATCAGTATATCTCTGCAGTGTTTATATAATGTGAAAAAAAAATACGTTTCCAATACTTCTTGATAATCTACCTGATAAACGAAGAAAAAAATAGTCTTCATCCATAATGTAATAAATTAGTAAAAAAAAATGTTCGTACTTACTTACCCTGCCTAGTAAGTTTTAATAGCGAGCCTTTCTATGTAATGTTTGTATTAAAAACTAGCGGCCGTCCGCGACTTTATACGCGTGGAGTTAGTTAGAAATAAAGGTTCACTGTTCGTTCCCGACCGGGAGATGATGACACAAAATACTTGGTCATTTGTACCAGTATGGCGGTTCTTCAGGGGTCTAATTACGTAAAGGCAAAAAGGAAAATGATGGTCATAGCGCTCGCACCGGCGGCCCAATCGCGTGGGCGTTAATCGAAGGCGTCGGATAAATAACGAGTGTCGAACGATTTGTTCCACAAAAATGCTTATATTTTCAGATAGTCGAAAAAAAGAAGTAGGCGGTAGCGTAATGCCATACTTCTCGGGTGTGACTTACAGCCCGCCATACCGACACGAATACATTAATTTAAATAAAACAATTCAACCATTTGTACCAGGCTAATTTTTGCACAGCTAATCATCGTCGAGTAGCCATTCACGAAAATCACCTTGCCATACTTTTCCGACAGTTCCCAATGGCCGCCATACCGCTGCAAAGGAGTATTTTTTTTTTTTCGCCAAACGATTTGTACCACCCTGAAACTTTTTTTAACAGTTCCCCGTATGATCATAAATAGAAGTCTGATAATGCCATACCTGTGGGAGGTGGCGAATGTGAACAATATTTTTTCAAAGTCCCAAGATTTTATTCGTAATTCGAACGATTTGTACCAGTATGGCACTAATTTTTCCTGTAAGTTTGAGGTTTAACGAATATAAATACAAAGTTTCAAACACCTAAGTGGCGGCAATCTTGTCTTATAAGCAGATTTTATGTTGTATAATATTCTGCGGTTCCCACCGCTCGAAAGATTTCTCGAATTGTAGAGGTCTTGGCTCATCGTGTTGGTAAGACATAATGTATGGGAACGATATTACAGGTGGGCTATTTCGAAAAAAGGTTTCAAGATTGTATTAGTTGTCGGCATATCAGAGCGAGTGTGGCAGCTCCAGCCCCCGTGGTCACGGTATAGGCTTATTTTTTAACACAAAAAAAAAATCCGAAAATTATTTTTTCAAGTATAGCATCACTTTGGCACTTCTCCATAAGTACTGTGTAATTTTCCCAAAACTTAGTTGTTTTTTTTCAAGTTTGGAAATGATTTAAAATGCCATATTTTTACAATTCGTTCCAATTTTTTTTTTCATAATTTGCTCGAGTGTGACAGTCTTCCGCCCCATAGTTATAGTATGGGATTATTTTTTTAGGTTGAATTTTATCCAAACAAACCGAATACAATGATGCCATACTGTAACAAATGATTTTATGTCTTGTACCTTGAAAACGTGTCGAAAAATCAGGTTTTTCAAGTATGGCGCCACTTTTTCCCTCTACTACAAGTATGGCAAATATAATAATGGTCACATTGTATCGTATAATTTCCAAAAATCCAAATGCCATACTGGTACAAATCGTCAAATTTTTTTTTCTTTTTCACCTTTTAGCTCAAGTCCGACAGTCATCCGCCCCATGTTTACAATCTGTAATCATTTTTTTTACGTACAATTGCATCCAAATGACGAGAATACAATGATGTCATGATGTAAAAAATGATTTTACGTATTTTGCAGTCGTATTTTTAAAACGTGTCAAATAAATAAGTATTTCAAGTATGGCAGCACTTTTTCCCCCTACTAGAAGTATGGGAAAAATAATAACGGTCACATTTTGCCAAATACTTTCCAAAAATTCAAATGCAATACTGGTACAAATCGTTTGGCGAAAAAAAAAATTACTCCTTTGCAGCGGTATGGCGGCCATTGGGAACTGTCGGAAAAGTATGGCAAGGTGATTTTCGTGAATGGCTACTCGACGATGATTAGCTGTGCAAAAATTAGCCTGGTACAAATGGTTGAATTGTTTTATTTAAATTAATGTATTCGCGTCGGTATGGCGGGCTGTAAGTCACACCCGAGAAGTATGGCATTACGCTACCGCCTACTTCTTTTTTTCGACTATCTGAAAATATAAGCATTTTTGTGGAACAAATCGTTCGACACTCGTTATTTATCCGACGCGTTCGATTAACGCCCACGCGATTGGGCCGCCGGTGCGAGCGCTATGACCATCATTTTCCTTTTTGCCTTTACGTAATTAGACCCCTGAAGAACCGCCATACTGGTACAAATGACCAAGTATTTTGTGTCATCATCTCCCGGTCTCATTATTTAACTAACTTAATTCATATTTTCGAAGCCTGGTAGTGCCGTAGTTAGCGCATGCTGTCTTCCATTACAGAAGTGAAGCAACTTTCGCAGCGCTTTGTCATCGGATGGATGACCAAAATACTATCATCTTGAATACTCAGGACATCAGGACATTCTCATAATCCCAAAGTAGCCATCATAGAAGAAATGGAACTTTCATCTCCAGCTACCTCTCTCGACTTCTATTAATTCTTGCATTCATCTTTCAGATTCAATCGCCAAAATATGGTGAGGAAGATAACACAGTTCCCCGTTTTACGAGACATGCTGGTACACACTATAACCCATAATCCGCCGCGAATGCTCAACCTAGTAGCAACACACCGCAGCGACTCATTAGGTCGGGAACACTCGGCTGCCATTTTCGAACAGCTGGATAAACAAAATGGCCGACACACCACGCTGTGATAAACGGCAGGCACGACGTGCACATCACAGATCCGGACACCTTGGCACCGCATATAGTGGAATTTCTAGAAGTAGATGAATTAAATAGGGTTAGGGCTAAATTATAATGATGGGTGTGAGTTTAAAGCAAAATCAGAGAAGATGGTTGTATTGTGATTCAGTCTATTCCTAATGTAAATAGGCTGGGGGAGCCTGTATATACGCCCTATCTCGTGGGTGACATTGCAGAGGCCAAGCACTCACTTTGTCAATTTTTAAAATAAGCTGAACTTATTATTCAAGTTGTCTCATGTGCATTTTGTAACAAATTATAGCTACCTACATTACAATAAAGTTAAGTAAATTATGTATTTATTAAATGACATGGCTAAGAAACTGCCCTTAAAGTGTGTAATTATTTCGAAATAGCGCGTAACAGTATAACATTTATTGATGTGTAACATCTTTCCTCTTGCTTTCCTGCAATTTGTAGGACTGATTTCGTGAAATGGGACGGAAGTGTGTAACAGGAAGTCGCAAAAACGCGCGCTATTTGATTTGATTTTAGAACATAATGTTCAAATGGCTCATTCCTTTTGTAGTAAGTTTTATTTCATTTTTTACTAATATAAGGTGAGGTTTCAAATGTTACACATCATACGCGACTACTGTAAGGCTCGTTTATTAATTATAACGAGTTTATTATTCTCATACAACTCTTTTGAAACAATGAAATATTTAAAAGAATAAAAATTGACTTCATGTCTGTTTCAAAAGGAAGATGTCTCAAAAAAATGAACAAAAAATATTTGTGTAAGTATATCGAAATAAACAATATTAATTCCAAACTCCTAAAATTATGACATATTTTGCCCTAATTTTTATTATAACAAATCACTGAGCTAGTTAGTCTGAGACTGTCTGTCTTGTCAATAAGTCTTTTCACCACAGAGGTACAGTAGACCGCCGATTATCCGAATTAATTGGGACCGGGATCGATTCGGATAATCGGACATAGACTCGTAATAAAGAAAAACGAATTGTAACACAGTTCTACAATACTAAATACAATATTAGAGGTACATAGTAGCAAAAAAAACCGCGCGAAGCAAAACATATAGTGTCTTGCTTCTAGCTTTCAACCTTAAAAGTTGAAATATATCTGGATTCCAGCGAGTAATTAGCTTGCCCTTTGCATATTGAACATAGTAAAAAATGCATTTTTTTAAGCGAATATGGGTTGTCTTGTTGTCTTTTAGTAAACGTATCATTTTGGGGAAATATAAAAATCATCTAGCAACCCTGCCTGCTAGAACCAGCTGGAATGCAGCCAGTCAGCATCATGACATTATTTTGCTATAATTATGTAAACTTGATAACAGTTCAAAGATATAATTATAGATTAAAGAATAATACTAGAAAAAAATCTACGTGGACTAGGCAGCAGACGGAACTCGAACCCGTACCCTTCGTTGTCCGGACGAATGCACTGATCATTATGCTACCGCGTGTCGAATTCTTTCTAGCCTTTCTTAAGCTGCAAGGCAGCGCCATCTCTCCATTGTAGGGAACCGGCTGACAAATAGCAAGTACCTACTATTATCCTGGGACTGGGTTGCGTTCAAAATCTACGCCATAGAGAAAAGTAATACACTGGAAATCTACGCTCTAGGTGCAACAAATGACATTGGTGTCGATTTTGGCATAATTCTCTATTGACAACAGTTTATTCTTGTCATACTTTATAAATAATGGAAAGGAGAGACTAATGTCAAATTTATTTTTAAGTTTAGAGAGGTGTCGATTCTGGCATGATTATTTAAACTAAAAAATAAATTTGAGATCAGTCTCTTTTCATTTTGTATGGAGAATGACAAGGATACACTGGTATCGATTCTAGCATAAGGGTGCGGCCAGAGTGCACTCAGATTCAGATTCAGATTTCGAAAACAAGCGCGAGAAATAAACAGTGTAGTCGAAGGGTACGGCCAGATTGCACTCCTGATTCAGATTCAGATTCAGACTCAGAAAACAAAGCGCGAGAAAAAGCAGGCAACCTGCTTAGACTACACTGTTTGTTTCTCGCGCTTGTTTTCAGAATCTGAATCTGAATCTGAATCTGAGTGCACTCTGGCCGCACCCTAATTCTCTAAACCTAAACTTGAATTTGACAGCAGTATATCCTTGTCATTCTCTTTACAGAATGAAAAGGAGAGACTGATGTTAAATTTAGTTTTAAGTTGAGAGAATCGTGCCAGAATCGACACCATTATCATCGACACTATTAGCTTCATACTTCATCCATTTTATGTAAAAAATTAAACGTCAGGGTAAAAAGTTACACTTAGAGCGTAGCTTTTGAACGGAGCTCATCAACCAAAACAAACTACTGTCAAATATATCCAAACTCCAACTTGAGTAAGTTCAAAACTTTATGAAACTGTGTTTGCCTTATAAACTTACTTTGTTGTTTATTTTGCTGTAGGCTAACACAGAAACAGACTTATTTGTAATGACAAAAGTTAGAAAAGAGTGGTACACGAACGCACCGTGGGGTAAAATAGCACGTAAGTAGCCAGTCTCCAATACTTACACGTAAATTTATAACAAGATATATTTGTTTCTTAGGTTTTCATGCACATCACTAATGAAATAAAACAGTTTTTTACTTGTTATATGCACTGAATTTATTTATTTATTGACGTTTCGTATCCTTTTCAGGAATAATGGTTTTTATTTACTTTGACGAGCTACCTTCGAAAGACTATTTTTTTCTTTCGAAGGTAGCTCGACAAAGTAAATAATACTATAACTAGGTACCTATAAAATAAATGTATGGAAATCCAATCAATCGTGCAAATCCTATTTTTGTCGTTTCACATAGTTACATAATTATTAGTAGGTACTTTTTGGGCTCAAAGGGTCATTTATTACACTGAATTTAGTTTCCTACTCCATTTGTTACTATTCAGTAAGTAGTGAAGTATGAACACATTCAGAAGCTGCGTTCATTATTTGCGTCTAAATTGTTCATTAATTATAATGTTTTCAAAGTTTATTTTAACAATATTACTTCATGTTACTAAAGGGTTAATTTAAGAAATAAAAATATATATGAACATACTAGAACAATGAACCTAAAACTAAAATCCTTAAAAATATAATATAATAACTATATTAAATTATTAAAAGGAGTAGATACTGTCAATGTTCCTGTTGAGTGTTCATTAATTACATCAAGAGCAGACTTACCAAACAGTTCAAATTACTGTTTGGTAAGTCTGCTTTGCCTGCCTATACTGTAACGTTTTTGACATTTACAGAGTGTAACTAAAGAGAAACTTACATATCCATCGATGCTTTCATGGCCAAGTATATTAGTGGCAGTATAATAAAAGAGTAGTGGATAACTAAATAGCTCAGTGATTATCACTTCCACCTTTCAAAAGCAGTTAGCAAATAGGCCTACTGATCAGTCTGATGTAAATCTGTTTGCTTGGTCTCGCCGACCACTTTAACGCACAAAGGAGACGTACGGGAGGAGGAGTCAATTCATTTGATTATTTAACCACTAATGAGTGCTCAGGACTTCATCTGCATAAAAAAATGGTTTTCCCATACAAACTTCCATCCCCCTTTTCACCCCAGGACCCCATTTAGAGCATGATTTCTGAGATAAAAACTATCCTTTGTCCTTCCAAATTGGTTCAGCGTTAATGGTGAACAGCTAACAGACAAACAGACACTATTTCGCATTTAATATGATAGTATGTATGGATGGATTAATTAAAGAACTCAAATTAACGTTTAAATAAATAAATGCCTATTAATTTACAAAAATTAAGAGTGACAACCCTAACGCTCAATCGGTGTGTAAGTATTTATCTCAACAAAATGTCCTAGTTGCGGTACTGCTTATATATACTGTGTCTGTAGTCCTTGCAGGATTTATCTATCCTGTTCCTTTACAGTAGAAATATCTACGTATACTTCTTGATTTTTATATAACATGGATAGTAAAAACTATAAATTACTTGTAACATTGTGGGTTACCTACAGTGCGAAGAGATGGCGCAGCCTTGTGGCTTAGGAAAGGCTACAAAAAGAATTCGACACGGCCGTCAGGGTCGCAGTAGCATAAGGCGCTTTGCAGACGACGGGGCGGGGCGGGCTTTTTGTCCGCGCAGCAATAAAAACCGCGTCTGCCCGTCGATGTCTGCGGCTGCCCTCGCCGCGTACACAAAGCACACGACGGGCAGAGGCAGTCAGTTCAGGACGTTTGTTCTAGTGAATAGTCCATCACTAAAAAGCGGGTGGTGCGGACTGAGCTAGCCGCCCCGCGCCGCCCGCCGTCTGCGTTACTGCATATAAACTGGTTTTTTATGATCCACGGCAGGCAGCCGCGGACATGCCGCGCCGCCTGTGCCCGCCGGGCACCTGCGGCGCGGTCTTTTTGCCCTCTGTGTGCGTTTGTAGTATAGGATTCACTTTGTGCTATCGTTCGCGGTGAAATTGGCCCGCTCCGCCCCGCCGTCTGCAAAGCGCCTAATGGTTAGTGCATTCGCCCCGATTGCGAAGGGTGCGGTTTCGGGTCCCGTCTGCTGCCTGGTCCGCGTGGAATTTTTTCTAGTAATATTTTCTTTAGATTTAAACATCGAGCAGTTACATGCTTAAAAAATAGAAACTATAACTATAATTACTATTTCTTCTTTCAAACGTTTAATGCTTGTAAAGGTATTGGTTTGACATTGTGGATTACCTGCAAAGCGAAGAGATGGCGCTGCCTTGCAGCTTAAGAGAGGCTACAAAGAATTCGACACGCGGTAGCATAATGGTCAGTGCATTCGCCCGGATAGCGAAGGGTGTGGGTTCGAGTCCCGTTTGGTCCCAGCAGACCAGGCAGGTCCGCGTGGATTTTTTTCTAGTAATATTTTCTTTAGATTTAAACATCAA